GGAGGATTATGTTGTCACCACCTTCGCCCCGCGTCGCGCGTGAGCCGGGATACTTGTTTGCTGCTCGCTGTTAGGGAATTAGCCAAGTGCTCTGCGTTGAGAGACATTACCCCCCAAGACACACATGCCCGCGCATGCATGCGATTCAAGCAACATGCATCTTGAGGCTATCGTGGGCGGTGTTCTGCGCCACCGCTTCCTTTCTTTTGGCAGCGACGACTTGTCCCCCGTCTTTTTTGTTTCTTTTCTCGCCTTCTCGCGCAGTCGTTTTAGTGATCATTCGACGCAACTGCTGCGAGCCAACGGTGATTTTAGTACCTTCACTAGCAAGGGGTGGGGGGGGGGGGACCAGTTGACTTGTTTTTTTTCCTCTTGTTTTCTTTTTGCGTGTGTCCTGCAAAGGAAGGAGCAATACTAAGAAGAAGTTTTTTCTTTTTTCTTTTATTCTGCGCCTGCTTTTGCCTTCTTGTTGCTGCTGCACGCGATGGGGCGCGGCAAAGGGCGAGCGAAGGGCATCGACGTGACGAAGCACTTTTTTCAGCCGACGGGCCCCTCGGACCGGATTTTGGTGCAGATATCGCCCTCGCAGACGGCGTACGTGGCGGAGGAGGACCTGAGCCCGACGCAGGGCAGCGAGGCGGCGCTGGCGCTCAAGCGGGAGGGGCGGACGGAGGGCCCCATGAAGTTGTGCGCCAACTGGCGACAGGGCGCCTGCCTTAGCCACGCCGCCTGCAGCAGCGCCCACGTGGTGGCGTACTTCAACCACCCCGCGACCCCCATGGTGGGCGGCCACGGCGGTGCCACGGCCCTGGGCAGCCTGCTGCAACGGCAGCACGACGATGGAGGCCACTCCGCCGCGCAGCAGCACAACTTCCACGCGGGGACGGCGGCAGCCGAGTCCACTCGTGCCATGGAGCACAAGAGCCCAGCCACGACGACGCACAGCACACTTATTCCAGCGCCGAGGAGTCAGCAGGTGAACCGGCAGGCCTCCTCTTTGGCGGCCACATCCGCGCCCATAAGCTCTCCACGTGCGGGCACGGCGTGGGGTCGCAATGTGGTGGTGAACGGTAATCAACATGGAGGCTACCAGTCACAGCAGCAACAACAGCAGCAGCATCAACACCCGCGTCATCATTATCTGCAACAGCAGCAACAGCAGCAGCAGCAGCAGCACAGTGCGCCACAAGGTAGGGGAAGTCGGGGGACGGGTGGCTATAGGGCTCAGGAGGACATCAATTGGGCATCACCGAATGGAGCATTAAGTGATATACTTTTAGATGCTGCCTCAACCAAGCATTCAGGGAAGAGTGAGGGAGGGCATCTTGATCCTTCTGTCATGCCAAGCATCAGCAACCTCAACAACACCCCGAACAGGGCGGATGGAACCAACTTCCTGCCCCCGGATAATCTTAATGGCGCTGTCGGCGATGAGACCTGGGTGGCCTCGATGCTGGGCCAAAGCTCCGTGAACTCGGCCATCTGGTACGACGGCTTCGCGGGTCTGTGGGACATCGCACCTAGTGCGGAGACGACCACGACGGCTAGGACGGAAACAACCACACTGGCAGCCGGAGAGCCGCCGCTTCTTATGACTCACGAGTTGAACACAATGGCGACCACCACCACACCGGGGGAGCTGTGGGGTTCCTCCGGTGGCAGCAACGTGGATTCTACAGTATCGGCCAACAAACCCGTGGGGATGTCGTTTCGCTCAGAGGCGCTTAAGAGTCAGTTGCTGCGGGAGCTAGTTGGGGCGGAAGGTGACATCAGCGAGACCACCGCCGCGGAAACGCAATTAAGGAACGTTACGAACCAAAACGTCATTAGCCCCCCAGCCCCTCTCACGGAGGCGAAGAATTCGTCGGGACTGCTGAACTTGCTAGGAGGCGACGGCCGCGATGCCGGCGCTCTTGGCCGCGCAGGAAGTCCTGGCTGTCTCGCATCCGCGCCAGGCCGCAGCCCCCACTCAATTCAGCACCTCATGTCCCTCCTCACCACGGAGTGAGAGCCCAAAGTTCGCGGAGGGACGTGAGGGTCTGGGGAGGAAGTGGGGTGCGGAGGGGACATTGAGGCTAAAATCGAATGAAGAAAGGACAGAGAAGTTGATAGCCGAAGAAATCGAATGGGCATCATACATACATACATACATATATATATATATATATATATATATATATATATATATATA